TTCTTGTTCTTGTTCTTGTTCTTGTTCTTGTTCTTGTTCTTGTTCTTCTTCATGATTATTTATTTCTTGACTGACTCTCAAATTACGATAGACAACCTGTGACTTGAGAGCCAGTGTTAATTTAACAACTTTACTACAAAAAACAAGAGTGACAGCTAAGTTTATTGTATAACATTGTAACAAACACAATACTTACATATTCCTTCCATGGATAATACAACTCAATCAAAATGATGTAAAAGGTAAAGACGCACATAGCCACGGTGTAATTCGATATTTATTAAATTTTTACATTTGTAATAATGAGGACGAAGTTTAAAACGATGGTGTAAATAACAAAAATCTTAATTAATTAAAAAAGTAATGTTTACACTTTGACACTATACATAAATAATTTCAAATACTAAAAATACTGCAGAATTTGATTTTATAAAATTAATTTAATAAAATACTCTTACATTGCAAATCTTTCGTTCTTTTTATACTTCAAGCTCGTGCGAAATACATACAAATTTTTAAGTTCAATTAGGTAATGAAAAAGCTCATGGACGTAATTTAGGACATTACGGCAGGCTTTACCTCCATGTTTCCTGTTTTTTTTATTAATAATTTGCACCCCACTGTCACGCCAGAATGTCATGCAGTGTAATATGTATGTTCTTCTCCAGGTTCTTCTGCTTATTGGGGAGAATTTCGAGAACAACGACTTGATCTGCGGAGTGGTTGTTAACGTCAGAGCCAAATGTAAAATTAGTAAGTATGATGATCGTGTTACCCAACTCACCAGTCCTCCAAGACCGTTTCCGTACTCTGGCCAAATTCGACATAGAATAAATGTCAACAAACAGAAACAAATCGTCGGTGTTTTAGAAAGGGCGTAATTGTTTTAGGTTTTAATGAAGGTTTTAAAATATATACTATATAATATATGCTTTTAAAATTCAATTTTGGTTTTAACTAAGTTTAAGTTGTAATTTAGATAGAAGATAGATAGAAGAAAAAGTTGTAATTAGCAATTTTATTTTTGTGAAATTACTCTACTAGTTTGTTATAATACAAAGCAAGAACACTAAGAAAAAATTCCTTCGATCCTGGATACGAACTAACGTCTTCCAGTAAACCGTGGCAGGGGGTCTACTCTCGACCTCCGTCCGACATCCGTCCGAAACAATTACTTCCAAATAAGCAATACTTGACCAAATGAAAAGACGCGTGATGCGAATGAAGCTTCATACTTGATACTTGTCTTTTTTACTTGTCTATTTGACAGTAATTGTTTCGGACGGACGTCTGACGGAGATCAAGAGTAGACCCCCAGACGCTATGCCAACTAAGCCACGGAACGAGCTACCGGACCTTACGAATTTTGCTACGTGCTTGTTGCAAATCTTTGGTTTTGGTATTTAAATACTTTTTTGCCGTAGCGCCATCTGATGATCAAATATATTTCTTCACTTACCCATGATTAAGTTTTAAAATGCAATTTGGAACAGGACGTAAATATTTTAAAACAGTCGTGAAAATCCAAAACCTGAAAATATTTTCGGATAGTCGCTTACGCCCTTTGTAGGTACAAAACACAGGCAATATGGATTTTTAGGGTTTTCACCTCCAGACTGTTTCACAGTTCCTACAATTTCAATGTTAATCCTTCGAAATTCGATTTAGCCATTAATGATATTAAACTTGAAGTCATGTCTGTGGTGAATTTTGCTGCTGTAAAATAAAATCTTATGGTTTTGTATCTACCTACTATCCAGCAGTAAATTTATAGGATTCAAAAATTAAATTACTTTCTTCATAAATCATACTTTTCGACAGGTACTTTATAAACTTTTTAATAATTGGCAAAGTAAGTATTACTTTTACACATCGAGTATATAACCAGAAATAGAGACGAAATAAGGGCTATCCATCCCTGGCAACTCATCAGTCAAATGTGCCTTATATCACTTTTAAATATCAACTATCGTTTGCGCTGAAATCACAAATTGGAAAGCTGAAATAGTACAGCGCCAACAACTGACCTGTGTGTACGTCTATATTCCAAAAATATTCTATATTTATTTATTTATTTATTTATTTTTTTTAAATAAATAAATAACGCACACACTCAACATAGCCCCGCACTAGGGAACCCTGTGTCGCGGGTGCCATGGACACACACATAGACAACCACAAATTACACCCAAACTCACGAGAGATATAATTGTAGGCCATACAACTATTTCTCTCGGCCCGGGAATCGAACCTGGGACCTCTGCGTGGCAGTCCGGCATGGTAACCGTTCGGCCACAGAGGCAGTTTATATTTTATATTTATTGTAATAAAGATAATATCTCTAACAATAGGAGGCTGTTCTATTCGACGGTGTGGAAAAACCGCATAACATCAATTACAAAACAAACGGAATCAAATTTCATGGGTAATTAAATATTAAATATGTAATTTTTCAATTTTAGTTCATTACAGCAAAGCTCAAGTTAAACTGGTCAATTTGAAGTGAAACTATTGACGGCACCCGTTAATTGTTTCGAATTCGGGCTGGCCAATCGGAGCGCAGTTGTCACCGTAATGAATTTGGCAGAATAATTTTCAAACAAATTAAATGACATTTCGTCTCTATTTCTGGTTATATACTCCATGCTTCTACATTACCCACTTACCTACTTACCTATTTAAGTTCCAATTAGGCGAGCAGGCCCTGGGCGGAGCAAGCCTAAATAATTTGCATTGAAAAAATGTTCTTTACCTATGTCATCATCGGTTGCCTAGCAACGTTTTGATATTAAACATCCACGTCGAATTTGGCTAAAGTATATTATATAGGTCATCTCCAGACCCGCCGCCGCTGTCAAATACGTACATAACAATATACCAAAAAAAGTAGAGGTCAAAAGATGCATTGTTTCCAGGTGTTTGGATAAAAGACGCTTCGAATCCGGCTGTCAATATGGAGATTGGCAAGAAACTAAAAGCAGCACTAGGAAATGTCAAAATTGGCTTTCAACTTCATGATTCGAACAAAAATCTTTACACTGTTTAGATTCTTAAGCATAACAGTTTAGTTAAACGAAAAATTTACGATTAAGTAATCGAAGTGAATTTAGTTTTTATGAAGATTGTGATTTAAATTCTTTGTTGGACTTATTAGTACGTAAGCTAGAAAAGAAAAACTGATTATAATACTTAATGATAGAAATTTTATTTATAAAGCTAACATTGAGAAGACGAAATTACTTATAATATAGTGCAAGTTCGAGAGTTTGTTTGGTTTCGAATTTGTGACTCAACAGTTTCTTCTACTTTATGGATAGTCTCTTCGGTTTGATCGATACCTTTGTGAACGGTTTCTGGAACAAAAGTGACGCATGAATACCGTAATTGTTTTAACTGAGATGTTTAGTTATTACTCGTTTTAACGGCGACAGAAAACGCCGTGAAAAGACCTGCTTGTTGTTAAAAAATCTTTTAAAAAAATGTTAAATCTCATTGGCATAAAGGTGAACTTATTCCGTTTTAAGAACCTGCTGCTTAAGAGTATTATGAGTGTGAAAGAAGTGAATACTTAACTTACCTACAACTTGTTCCTCAATCACTTTTCCCTTCCCCATACAAGAATTTTCTTTATCCCTAATAGATTGGAAAATTCGCGCAAACCGTCCTTTCTCTTCTAATTTATTAACCACCACATCAACATCTTCAGTGTGTTCAGGTTCATTTTGTGCATCGATGCCATCCTCACTTCGAACAATAGGCATCACAGCTTGCATTTTAGTTTTGGCTTGCGGGCTAGATTTATCTGAGCCGCAAGGAATGGTTTCATTTTCTGATTGCCCATTTTCACTTTTTTGGCCATCGTCACTATGTTTACTCATTTCCGGACTTATTTCTGTAATATTTGGGACGTGCAGCAGTTCTTGCAGTATGGGCGTCTTAGGAGGCGGTGAATTAGCTATCTCTGAAAGCTTGTCCGGCACTCCTAGACCTTTTCTTTCGTCGCATAAATGTCCGGGATCTAATTTTGCCGCTGTCTTCTCTAATGTCTCTTCAACAACTTCAACTTTTTCCGTGACCTTGTCTTTAACATCTTGTACCGTTTCTTCAATCTTTAATTCAGCATCTTTAACGACATTGTCCATTATTTGGATGGCGTTCATCACCTCTGCTTCTATCGGTGCAGACGGGATTGTTTCATCTTTATTTATATCGGTGACGCCGTGAATGCTCCCGTTTTCGGCTTCAAGGTCATTAATGTTTACAATGTGCGAGCCGCTGACGTTAGCCTCCAAAGAGTCTATCGATTCGGTTTCGTCGTTCACGTTTCCATTCACATTATCCGTATTCAAAGTTTCGGCTACGTTGGAGTTCACAACGTCTTCGACCGTCGCGTGTTCCTTTGTTTTGTTCATGGCTGGAATTTTCTGTAGCGGAGGTAGTTCAGTTAATGAAATATGTCTATTTTCTTCATTGACAATACTGAAGTCGTTGTTCGTGAAGTCTGCGTTGGATCCCTTGGTCGCCGTAAGTAAAGTGTGACAGCCGCCGCAGGCTACATTGTCGACGACGAAGCCATTCATAGCGATGACCCGCTTAGGCGAGTATTGATTGGGTACTGCCTCGTTAGAGTTGTCGGCGTCGTCGATTTCCTCCAAACACAGTTTGTTGTGCCTCGACTCGCCACAGGTGTACAGCAGCCCGTTGTCTGTAAACGTTTACATCACGTTAGAACACCGGCCGAACCAACGGCAAGTCCGATACTGATCATTATGGCCTTGTCCAGGTAGGTAATTTATTGTTGACGTGGCAAGGAAAATTAGAACGATACGTATTATGTTAAGCTGTAAAATCGATTTGAATGCGTGCGGGCGGCGGCTATAAAAATAGAGCACTTAGTGGACAAGTTCTGAAACGATGTGAATATTCGGGGGCGATAAAAGTAATTGATGTCGAGCGAACATTTTTCATAAGCGTTACTTGGGATGTTGTTTGGGCTAGTCGAGTAAAGTTGCTGGAATTATTCTGTGGCATAATTTTCTTGTTAATACATTACTTAATTAATTATGGTACATATAATTTGTTGAAAATGCTCGTTATAATGTAGTTTTCCTTTGTAATAGGGTAAAATTAAATTAATTCTTAACAAATAGACCAAATTAATCGTCAAATGAGAAGACAGTATCGATGTTTGATGAAATATTAGAGCTGCAATTATCGCCATACTTCCGAATACCTATTTAGCAATGATTTTTTGTGACGACACTTTAATGGTGCTATACAAGAAACTTGTAGAGATATCGCAAAAAGAAACGAATCAATTGATCAATAAGAAAATATAAGTCAAAAATAGTGTATTTGAAAAATGTACTGCAATCGGAGTGTTTTTTAATTAAGGCAGGTTGCTTACCTGTAACAAACGCCGTGTGCATGGCACCGCAAGCCACTAGCTTCAATTGGAAACCATTAAACATCTTTTCCATATTTATCTCCGTTGGTTCTGTTACATGCTGAACATCTTTGGGCATTCCAAGTTGTCCTTTTTCATTGGAACCAAAAGCCAGAATCTTCGATTCATCCATAGTGAGAATGAACGTATGATTTGCGCCGCAGCAGGCACTTTTTATTGGTACATTTATTGGCAAGACTTTAGGAACAAATACAGTAGTTGCAGTGTTTTCAATGCCAAGGTTTTGGTTATCATTGTCACCGGTAACGAATACTGCTCCTTGTGCTGTAGACAATATGGCCTTACATTGAAAAGACATCTCTAGTTCCTAATCCAATCCCCATAAGACTGGTATGGTTGCATGAATGGAAATGTAAATTAAACGATATTTGAATTTTTTTAATTTTGCATTGAAATGAAAAATATGACGTATCGAACGAAATTTACCTCATTTGAGTCGAAATTCTAGGCTGGCTCATGATTTAAGAAAGTATGTAGTGTGCGTTTACATGAAGTATGAAGGAGGCAGGTACCTACAAAAACATTACTTTTGTTACTTACCCGTAATGAAAACTGTGTGGTAATATCCGCATTCGACGAAAGCTATTTTCTCCATAAACTTAAGTTCAGTGAATTTGACACTAGACCTTACGTCTTCTCCAAGCCCTAGTTGTCCTTCAGAATTTGAGCCGCAGACGAATACTCTCCCTTCAGCTGCAAGAAACTTAATTAAGTAGGTTTGTTCATTTTTGTTTATTACGATGTAGAAGAAATTGTGTTAGGAGATAGAAAGCAAGACATCACACAATTTGCCTACTTCGGGTCTTCTTGGATATACCTCATATATCTATTCGCCATCATCATCATATCTGTCGAAAGACGTCTACTGCTGAAAATAGGCCTCCCCAAAAAATGCCACATCGATCTGTGCTGCGCCGCTTGCATCCAGCGGCTTCCCGCAACCTTTACCAGGTCATTAGTCCACCTTGTGGGTGGTCTGCCCACGCTGCGTTTTCCTGTACGCGGTCGCCACTCGAGAACTCTTCGGCCTCATCGGCCATCTGTTCTGCGAGCAATGTGCCCCACCCACTGCCACTTGAGATTGGCAATTCTTAGGGCTATGTCGGTTATTCTGGTTCCCTTGCGAATATCCTCATTACTGATTCGATCTCACAATGAAATTCCGAGCATAGCCCTTTTCATTGCCTTTTGTGTGAGCTTGAGCCTTCTTATATTGGCCATATACAATAATCTATTCGAATAATGATATTTCTTAGACAATTTATAAAAACTTTGTTCGAGTTTGGATAAGCTTGTATTCTTGGTAGGTATTACATAGCCACATATCATCATACATGTTAAAAGTGCTTTCATCACATGAAAGTCATAAAAATAATACGAACTGCATGAAACTAAATTTATGTGTATGATTTAGAATCAAGAAACTTCTCCTCTTGAAAAGAGGTCATTTTTGTAAATGTGGCCTTATTACTCCAAAGGTCCAAATAACCCTTGCGGGAATTAATACTGATAATAGTCAATACCAGTTAGTATAGCAGTATGGTTGCTCCCGGCTGAGACTTGTTTGATAACAATCACGTGTTCTCCCTCCAGCTCAACGCTTTGGGGTATTGTGTGATGTTCCATATCGCCGGTTCCCAATTGACCCTCATCATTGCAGCCTACAGTGTAGATTGCGTTATTCTCTGGAAAAATAAGATTTTTATATCAGTGGCGGGTACAAAGTGGCTATGGCCCCGGGCGTCAGAGCAGAGCCCTAACTTGTCAAAATTGTTTTCTTTTTTACTTAAAATTACAAAATAATTTCTACGTCAAAAAATCAACGCTACGCCACTGTTTTTAACCGACTTCAAAAAAGGAGGAGGTTCTCAATTCGACTGTATGTTCTTTTTCTTTTTTTTTGGTATGTATGTTACGCGATAACTCCGGTATTTGTGAACCGATTTTCATGATTCTTTTTTTGTTGGAAAGGGGGTAATTCCATAGTGGTCCCATTTTATTTTGAAGAAAATCAACCACCTCAAAGGGTGGCTGTTCACGTATGAAGATTCATTTTTATAAATACCGCCTGACTTTAATTTAGGAGCAATTACTTTTAGCAATTGTTTAGTTGATTTTGCTATTTCTCCAATTCAAGGCGTTTTTCTCTCGATATATTTTGAGTAGTGTTGTAGTGAGAACCTATTTTTATTATATCCAGTATCAAGTCCTGTATAGTGGCGAACTAGGGGATATTTCAATGAAACTTAGCAAATAGATGTAATTCCACGTACTTTTGAGGTCGGTTTTTTTAGTACTCTTTACTGAGATTATATATTATTATGTATCAATACACCTATAACAGTTGCAGTGCCACTCAAGAGTTTTTTTTATAATATCAAGTGAGATGGGACGAACAAGTCGTGCGCCTGATGGTAAGCTAGGTAAGCGCCTGTCCAGCACTCTTATCGTTACGCTTAGTAGCAGTAGAGTTCCTTGTGAAAGAATTCGTCCAGGCAAGTACTGCCACCTTACGTATTTTTTTTTAAATTTATTTATCCTTTCAATGACTTTTTACAAATAAAATAAGGTTCTCCCAAACTTCTTGAAACTTTATCGAGAGAGTTTGGTTGCTACGCTAAATATTGCAGTTACATAAACACATAAACATTACACTCAGTTACAGTTTTTCAATATTTACCTACATTGTATCTAACAAATATTTTTTTATTTCATTTTTTACAGACTTTTTACTACCTTTAAAGTTTTTTGAGTGTGACGGAAGACAGTTAAACAATGTTGGAATTAAATAGTCCTTAGTTCTTTTACCATATACGTTATTTGTTTTAAAAGTTTCATAGCTACCCATCATTGCTTGTCTTGTTGGATATTTATAATTTTTTGGTACTTTATATTCATCACTTGAATGTTCTTGTAATATTTGAGAAAGCCAACATTTTTTTTCAACAGGAATTATTTTAAATAACATGCCATAATTTTGCGCTCCTTTACACTCTCTACGCATCCTCTTATCAGCCAACAGCTTTAAGAACCGTGTTTGAAGTGACCTAATTTTGTTAAGATGTGTCACGTAGGTAGTACCAGACGTTCCCACACAGTAATTTATTACAGATTCAACAAGAGCATGATAGAGAGTATATAGGATCGCACGAGTGCAGTAAGCAAGCATACTGAATCTGCCTAATATCTGTCGCAATCTAGTACAACATCTATATGTATCGACCAATTAAAACGATCATCTACAGCAACCCCTACATATCTATATATATCATATGTTGACGTCAGTTAGTATAAGTACATCCAACTTATTTCCGTAGATAATGCCTAGGAGTTCCGCATAGTTTTTTCTTAAGGATTTTATATTTATATGAAATAAAATTATGTCGTTGTATTTACTCAATCTTGTCATCCATTCCGAGACATCGTTATAGGTACATGTAGTATTTATTTCCGTGTTATACACTATTACAGACTGTAAGTTAAGTAGCACAAAAGCAATAAGTTAGTGTCGGTATTTTTCATTTTTTAGAATCATTGATGTAGGTATGGAGATCAGCAGAGCAATGAACTACGCGTGTGCGATGGTGGTCGTCTTTCTTACACAGCACTCGCCCAATTTTTACCCACACATATTTAAGAAGGTTTTCCTTTTTCTTTTGCTTGGCCTGCCATAGAAGTTCACGATTATACTTAGTCAAGTCCTCATTAATAAAAACCTTAGTGGAACAGGAGCTATTTGGGAAAATATCTGTGTTTACCCGTATTTTTTTTCTATTTTCTATCCACTTCTGTTTGGTTTCTTCGGTACGGAATTTGACGATTATGCCACACGAATTTGGATTTTGTTTAGTGCTGCGGAGCCGCCAGGCGCGCTTGATATCCGCAGAATCAACATCCAGTTTTTGTGCTATCGCTTTTACTACATCTTTCAAATTTTCTTGTTCTTTATATTGTATTCCTACTATTTCTATATTTTTGGATCTCTCAGTCTGCTCTAAAGATTTCACACGTATTTCTAGGGCCCCGTTTAGCGTCTCCAGGTGTACGCATCTGTTTTTTAAGTCCTGAAGTTTTCTATTTGTATCCTTCAAAATATCTAACGTATCCTGATGACACTTAAAAAGCCCATCATACTTTTCAGCATAGAAGTTTGTGTTCTTCTGAATTTCGTACTGTAACTGGGGCGTAGCTTAGGATGCGTAGCGAGAGGTACTTTTATGAATTTAAAGTGGAATAATCTTCAAAATATACTTTATTGTATTCTTTCACATCGTTTCGGCGTTGGGTTACAATTCAATAATGTCAAGATGCTCCATTCTTTTCTCTTACTTCATTTTCAAAACATTCTAATTACAAAAGTATTCATTCAGCCAGTGATTCTACTCATAGAGTAGAGCCTAGACTACAGTACACAATTTCTAGCTTGTCATTGAGCTCTGTTATTATGGATTCCAAATTATCACTCTGCGATCCCAGCTTCTTTGGTGGAGCTTTGCTGGAGCATAATCCGCATTCCTTAGTACGGGCACTTAATTCGTAATTCGGTAGACAAGTCTTGTAATATGATCCTTTGCAAGTCCTCTTACGCACAAAACTTTCTTCCTGCTTTTTAGGCAGGAATTTGGAACACTTTTTACACTGCATTCCAACGCGAATGAAAGAATGAAAAATTTCTGCCGCTAACCGGTAAAGTGGGAACTTGGCGGCAGAAATAGGTATGGTCACAGTACTGAACGAACTCTGTCACAAGGATCTACTGCTAATAAAGATCAACAAAAGTTCAAAAACTCTTTTCTGGTAAGTCTCCTTATTAGCTTTGTGGTATTTCAAGTTCTTTATATAAAAGTAGGTACATAAACTATCAAATTGCCTATGGAGCGGGCACTTTAGTTTTAAAATTTCTATGTTAAGTACTCGTACATTTATGTTGCGAAATAATGTAGCCGAAATTGTGTACCAAATTACCTATTTTATAAAAAAACTAACAGTGTATTGTAACATAACAGACCTGTAACAAAGACGGTATGTGCTCTTCCACAAGCAACGAACATGCCTCGCTGCGGTTTTAGCCACTTAACGCAGCTGGGCCTCGTCACCTCGTCTTTGTGGCCCAGGCCAAGTTGGCCCCACGCGTTCCCGCCGAACACGAACACTCGACCATTCTCTGAAACAATATAAATTTGTTATAAACGATTATACATGGCGTCAGTATGGTAAATATTGTAGACAGGATATTTTGTTTCATGTAGACATTATTTTAAATTCGAAAGAAGTAATACTGCATTAAAATAATTTTATCTACATACATATCATAAATTCTCTGTAATGTGTTCAAAAACCGCAAATTACGACCAGCAAGATAAACTGTTTTGTTAGAACAAATTTCTTATCTGTGAAAATTCGATGTTATAATTACATTCAAATTTCGAACATCTCTGAAAAACAAAACAATTTGATTCGACCTCAATTCTAATATTAGTCGAGATTCCTTTATTTTTAACCGACTTTAAAAAAGGAGGAGGTTCTCAATTCGACTGTATGTTTTTTTTTGTATGTATGTTACGCGATAATTTGTGAACCGATTTTCATGATTCTTTTTTTGTTGGAAAGGGGGTACTTCCATATTCCCATTTCATTTTAGGTCCCATTTCATTTTGAAGAAAATCATCCACCTCGAAGGGTGCTTGTTCACGCATGAAGATTCATTTTTATAAATAGCGCCTAACTTTAATTTAGGAGCAATTACTTTAATGCTTGATTTTGCTATTTCTTCAATTCAAGGCGTTTTTCTCTGAATATACTTTGAGTAGTTTCATAGTGAGAACCTATTTTTGTTGTCTCCAGTGTCAAGTCCTGTATAGTGGCAAACTAGGGGATATTTCAATAAAACTTAGCAAATAGACGTTATTCCACGTACTTTTGAGGTCGGTTTTTTTTTAGTACCCTGTACTGAGATTATTTCCATCCTCTAAGGTCGAGATGAAGTTTTATTCGAAATGAAATGTCAATAGCAAACAATTTTGACAAATGTAAAAAAAACCTGTAGTTTTATGATGCCGATCGAAAGAGACAAATTTATAAGGATTAATTCCTACTAAGTAACATAGGTTCAATTATACAATTTATCCAAAAAAGAAACAAGCTCGACGCTGCCAATTTATCTATGTTATTTGCGATTAATTTATCATATGCTTAAAATGTGGTCCATCTTCTTGTACGCACGCAGCTTCAATCTTTTGATAAGCTCGCTGCCTTGAGTTTTTCGTACATTATGAAGGATGTTCAAAATAATACGCCTCAATTAAGTTTTTAGCGAGATATGTGCATGTTTTTTCACATTTGACAGGATTGTTTCGCAGATGAGGCTAGCAACTTTTTAAAAGTCTTTGAATGCAGTATTACTTACTTTTTAAAATAAAATAACGTCTCTAAGAAGCTAAATATTGTATCACCAATATTTAAAGCACTTTCCCTCCGTGTTCCGTAGAAATAAAGCACACGTAACGCAGTAAAGTACACGTTACTGCTTGGCGGTAGAAATAGAAAAGATATAAGTGCTTCCTTGAACGAACTCTTACACAAGGAGCTCTACTATTGTTTACTAATTAACAGCCACATGAGATGAAACCTACTTTTCGGAGAATTACATAACTTTTCGAACGAAAGCATGGAATGTCTGACTTCAATGAGGAGATCCAAGGTTAGCAGTGGGACGTGTTCTAATTACATATTCTGTCAAAAAGGGACCATTAAAATACTGTTTAGAGATTATTTAGTTACCATGAGCCATAAGTATCAGGATAACTCATTATACTTATAGAATGAGTCATCATAATACTTATGCTTCGTGGTCAAATATATGAAATCTATATTGTGTTGACTGTAGACTCATATTGGACCGTAGCTATATCCAACATCGTCTTTTCTTCATCTATTTCAGTATATGTCCGCTGACTACTTTATTCTTAGGTTTATCAGAAATCAATCGTATAGAAAAGTTGTATTGATATAATAATGAGATAGTTTGCTTAACTTTATATTTATTTAGGGGTTTTTATCATTATTGAACATTTCAGCCTTATTATGAAAACAATATATATAAAAACATTTGATAGAAGCCAAACAGATTACTAACCTAATCAAGCATGTATGCAAAATCTTCGCGGCACTACTTGTTGGATGCAGACAAAACGGATTAAACGCAATATTTTGAATGCACCAAAACCAACCTGTGCAAACTGTGCTTTGGTAGGTTCCGTCCGATCACAGTCCATGAGCAAATGGTGTACCCATTCTTAGGTACTATACACACCTTGCAATTTGGAGGAAAATTTGTTTGATGGAACTGACAATTTGAACTCTACTTAATTTTACGTGGTTAAACCAATAGGTTACTAACGGCAAATAACAGCGCTGTGCTCGTCGCCACAGGAGATGGCAACGACAGGGTCGTTTTTGATGAAGAAGTGGCTGGGTTCGTTGTCGGCGAAGTGCGACTTGCCGAATGTAAATACCGCACCCGTATCTGAAAATTAACACGAATATACATTACATGACATATATAATGGCGGCTGAGTGGGAGAACGGGTTTTTTTGTTTTGATATCAAGTGACGAACGTGTCCCTGAAGAGTCGCTCAGAGCTATAAATCACAAAGATCTATGGGGTGTGTGTGACATTACCACTGCGTCCGTAATCCTGGGGCATAAGTTGACAAGTCTCATGTGGTTTTAACTTCACCAGCACCCTCACAGTACTCCGCAATTAAGTACAGTGGCAGTACTTCCCTGGACGAGCTCTTTCACAAGGCGTTCTACTGCTACTTAATCAACCCTATTAAGTCAGAATCGAATAGAATACGTTTATTTGCCAGAATACAGTAATGATTAAGGTCTGAAATAAAATTTGGTACATTGTATTCAACCTGCAAGCAGATGCACAAATATTAATTTCATGTTCGGTTTCTACTGTTAATTGCACTTCAAATTAATGTAAATTTGTATTTGGAAATTCTAAGTATTCTTTATTACTATAGAAGCAATGTCTCTAAAGCCATTTTGTCAATTTTTAATTTATAAGCTTAGAATAATAACGCATAGAAACCTAGCCCGCACACGCTAAGTGAGGCAAATTGAAGCGCTCCCAAAGGGCCTACACGAGCGGGCGGGCCTTCAGTGCTCAAGGTCAACTTGCACCGCGAACAGCTCCATAATTTTAGCTAAAAATGACGAAATGTGCGGTAAAAGAGTGTAAAAATACGTCAGACAAACATAAAATAGATACTAACATCACATTCCACAAGGAAGTAACGCGTTTCAACTTGTATTTTTATATAAATATTCACTAAAACCGAAAATTAACCTACTACGAAAACTAGCCTACATGAATTTGATTTTTGCCTCACTTGTGACAGTTCGTTTGATATGAAACTATCATTCTATGCGTTATTATTCTAAGTTTATAAGTATGTCCTTGCAGCAATTTAATTTCATTTGGCAAAATGTTGAAAATAATTATACACATGTTGAAGCAGTTTTACTTATAAATTACTTTATTTATGGCATCGAGGTTGGTACAAAAGATTCGTAATTTTTGTTCTAGTCTGCCTTTGATTAATTCCACCACGTGTTTTGAAATATTGAGGGTAAGTTTTGACAAATACACAGATATCCCTAATGTACATTTTGAACAACGGTTTACAGCTGTTGTCGAACCACACACCGCAGATCTCCCGAACACACTTCTTCTGAACCTTAAACGCACTTTCTACGACTACTGAATTGCCTCACAGTATAAGATCGTAGCTGAGCACAGACGAAACGTAGCCGTGATACGTCATCAACGCTGCTTTTTCGAGAGACAGAGGTCAACAATTTGGCAGCTGTGGCGGCAAGTACCTTTAATAATAACGCATACACTCAATAATAATGCACACACTCAACACAGCCCCGCACTAGGGAAACCCTGTGTCGCGGGTGCCATGGACACACACATAGACAACCACAAATTATACCCAACTCACGAGAGAAATAAATGTATGCCATATAAATATTTCTCCCGGCCCGGGAATCGAACCTGGGACCTCTGCGTGGCAGTCCGGCATGGTAACCGTTCGGCCACGGAGGCAGTTAACCTTTAAGTAAGACTTCTAAGTTACATACCTTTCGCTAACGGTACGGCGAAGGAAAATAACGTGATGAAACCAATACATACAAAAAGGTTCACGACTCTTGAAAAACATGTGAATGACCTAAATCACGAGAGCCTTAGATCGGGAGGCCTATGGCCAGCAGCAGAACGTGTAATGGATAGATGACGTGTAGGTACTTTTATGAATATAAACTGGAATAATCCTTAAAAATATACTTTATTTCACTTTTTTACATGTTTTGGGTTACAAATCAATAATCTTAATATCAAGATCTTCTATTCTTTTCTCTTAGTTCATTTTCAAAGCATTCTAAATATGAATCTATTCACTCAGCCAGTGATTCTACTCATAGAGTACAGCCTAGTCTACATCCCTCTTCCTCACAGCTGAAGGGGTGAATATTCCTAGCTGGTAGTCTACCTATGATATGCAACTTACATCGGTGATCAGCCTTTACTACAGGCTAGCCATACACTGCTCGGAAGCTATCAACTTACCAACAAGTAACCACCGAGGAGGCTATGGCTTTAGTCTGCCAAAAACCTATCTAAAAGGACAGACCATGACCACATCCTAATCAAACAAATCAAAAAAATATAATTACTCGCTATCCTAGCTAATTAGGGAACCTGTCTAAACCCTAACACTTTATTTCAGCGACCCTAAACTGGCTGAACGATCCTAATAAAAATTCTAAACATCACTACTTTCTGTTTCCCTAAATAGTCTTCAACGTGCATGCTGCCACAACGACGACACAGGCTTGAGCATCCATCGGATGACCACTGGGTTACATCAATATTGCTCTCCCAGCTGCCTCAGTCATCATCCTGCAGCTTTTCTCTTAGTTCATTTTCAAAGCATTCTAAATATGAATCTATTCACTCAGCCAGTGATTCTACTCATAGAGTACAGCCTAGTCTACAGTACGTATATTCGTAGGTTCATTAGAATCGAGTATAAAACAGTATTTTTATACTCTGCGTTGTAGGTAGTAGTGTGACTTTACTTTGAACAGTATTCAAATATGACGCTATTGTGGAATGAAAGCTAACGTGTAGTGCCTAGAATAGAAAATGTTTTGTCATCGTTTACTCATATGGAAAGAATGGCTGTTTGTAGAAAAACGACATAAACTTTTAACGAAATTAAGTGTGGAAACGTAGGGAAAGATCACTTTGGCGTATACATATCTAATGAGATACCTACATGCCGTTAAAAAGATCAAGTAATAATAATAACGCACACACTCAACAGCCCCGCCCTACACTAAAAAATATTATTTTCGTGTGCATAAGCGCACTTAGAACTTACGAATTTTGATTTCATCAGTAATAGGATTGAAAATTCACCGGCATAAAAGTGAAGTCGTGCAGACGATTTTAGTTGTTAGTATGTGACGTATAACATTTAAATTGGTTTATTCCCGCCTTCGCGGGCTATTCGATTGATATGACAAAACCATTTACATTATTTATATTATTATAAATATATAATATTTGTAAAAATGACAGTATGATTTTGATCTAATTGGTTGTTAGGTTACCTCTGCAAAACACAAAATCCAGAAAGCCTTAGTACAGACATGGTACAGACAGAGAATAAATAGTTGATATCGTTGTTATTTTTTTTATTACGAGAACTGATTTTGATATTGAACAAAATAATTACACATACTTAATGGTAGGTATTTTACATTAGAGCAAAAGAAATTTAAATTAAATAAATAAAATTTTAAATTTAAAGAAATTTAACACATTGATAACACAAATATTGTATTGGTTTTTGTCTTTGACTCGACAAGAAGAAGATTAGAGCAATTTGTTTATTTTCGTGTTTCTTCTATTTACCAAACAAATACGAGTATAATAGGTATCGTACTTTATGAAATTTCATAACAGACACAAATTTTGTGTGGAACAGAAAAAAAAACTGTGGAGTCGCCAATAGGACTAATAAATTTACAACCGGTTCCAGTACAGTAAGTATTGTATTATGTTTATACAGGATGATAAAAAACCACTGACCATTTTAAAGGAGCATACTGCATAATGGAAATATAAAATACATGTTCGGTTTTTTTTTCAAATACCTAACACATAAATAAGTTATGACGTCTCAAAGTTTTATACTTTAATTTTTCTTAACATCTTAAATTTTCATAAATTTAAGATATTAAGTAAAGATTCTAGAAATACAGTTTCCAGAATATATCGGAAATGAAGCATAAATCTTACTGTCATCTTTACAAATATTATTTATTTATAATATGTAATGTAAAAAATGCAAATGGTATCGTCATGTCAATGAAATGGTCCGCAAAAGCGGGAATAAACTAATTTAAATGTTATTCTGCTCATAATAAGAACTAAAATCGTCTGCACGATTTTCGCACTTATACCGATGAATTTTCAATCCTATTACTAATAAAATCAAAAGTTCTAAGTGCGCTTATGCACATGAAAATAATATTTTCTATTTTACTGTTCAAAATAGGTAGGTAATTCGCAAACTTACCTTCGACAATTAGCCATCAATATTGATAATTTACCATGACGATTAAACAGCTCAGTCGCAAAATTCTGTCAACGACCTCTCGTCCTTACGGAGTGATAGTGACTAATTTGTGAAACAATTATATGCTTGAAGTTCCCGTGACATGCGACAGGACATGTTGTCTTTTGCGCATTAAAATGTCGTAAGTGCTAAATTCTTTTTAGCGGAATAACTCTAAAACTAAAGGGATTTTAAAAAATCCGTAACGACAATAGTCAATTATGTATAAATATCATTAATTATCTAATTTTTGTCCTAACAACCTGCATTTCGAGAATAAATTGAAAAAATGTGAAAATTAGAGGTCATATCGTGATTTTTACCAATCGAGGAAACTTTATTGTTCTATGTTTCTGAATATGTCGTGTAGTTACTCATACAATATTTTATTTTTAACTTTAATGTGTATTTACCGCTCTAAAATCAAATAGAAGATTAGTAATTTTTCCTCTGCTCCCTCGTAATGGAACGTGCCCGGATTGAAGCCGACAATTTGAGCCTTGCTTAATTTTCCAGCATGCACGTGAAACACTTGATTTCAAAAATAAGGGGAGTAAGGGGACAGTATACTCCTACAGTGCGTTTTTTTAATTAGGACAGTATGAGGTCTGTGTGGCTCGGTCTCGGCCACAGATCCCATAAATACCAGGTCTGGGTATTTGCGCAGCACTTGAGAATTTACCAAGTGTATGTATTTATTATGCATTTTCAATAAATATATTATCGAGTTCTTAGGTTTTCGAGATTGTTGCACATAGGAATGAAACTATTTTTCCGGATTTAAATTGCGTATATTTGTTTTTTCGGTCCTTTTATAGG